AAAAACTTTTTAAAGAAATGTTCAAGTTAGGGACCAGTGTTGTGGTGTAGCAGGTTAAGCCACTGCCTGTGATGCCAGCATCCCACGTGGCACTTCTGAACCAGCACCCTGCAAAAGCACCTGGAAAAGCAACAGAAGACAGCCCAAGTGCTTGGGCCCCTGTACTCCCGGGAAGACCCAGAGGAAGCTCCAGGCTCTCAGGTTGGGCACAGCATAGCCCCAGCAGTTGCAGCCATTTGGGGAGTGAACCAGCAAATGGAGAAGTGCGTTCTCTCCGCCTCCCCCCCCAACTCTGCTTTTCAGATAAATAATAAATCTTAAAAGAAAAAAATGCTCAAGCTAATCCTTGTTATAGACTGTGTACTATCTAAGAGTTACTTACCACTCATGTCATCTTAGGCAACTTAAGCCTACTTTGAGCCTTTTAAGAGGCAACCAGTAAGAAACTAAGAAAAACCTCTCCTCAAGATGTTTTTACAGGAGAAACATTTTCATGTGAATATTTTAAGGAATGCTTTAGACTAGATTAATACTGAAAATTCACATATTGCATTATTCCTGCAAGTAAGCGAAACTATATGTGTGGTAAGAAATTATAGTTCTCTCTTTGCTTTTCAAATAAATAACAAATAAATCAACTCTAGGGCTGGTGTTGTGGCACAGTGGCTTACCTGCAACACCAGTATCCCAAGCTGAAGTATTGGTTCAAGTCCTGGCTGCTCCAATTCTGGCCTGGCCCAGCCCTGGCCTTGCAGCCGTTTGGGGAGTGAACCAGTGGATGAAAGACCTCTTTGTTTCTGTCGCTCTGCCTTTCAAATAAATAAAACAGATCTTCTAAATTATCACAGTTCTAATATTGTGATATTCAAAACATTGTTTTCTTAAAATGTCATATATTGAAGCATACTGCTACTATTTATTCATATTTATACTCAAAATGGTATGTTTCTTATAGATACTAACCCAACAATTTCATTTATTCCAATTTTTCTTGGAAAAAAATCTTGTATTTTAATTTTTGAGGCAGAAAAAGATGATACTGTTAGCATATGCTTTTTTATTATTATTTGAAAGGCAGAGTTACAGAGAGAGGGAGAGACAGAAATCTTTCATTTGGATGCTAGTTCATGCCCCAAATGGCCACAACGCCCAGAGTTGGGCCAGACCAATGCCAGGAGTCAGGAGCTTCCTCATGCTCTCCCACATGGATGCAGGGGTCCAAGCACTTGGGCCATTCTCCACCGCTTTCCTAGGCACATAAGCAGGGAGCTGGACCAGAAGCCAAGCAGCTGGGACTGCTGGACCAGCATCCATATGGGATGCTGCTGTTGGCAGCTTTACCCACTAATCCACAGACAGTTCCCAGTATATACTTTAATATGCAAACGCTGATTAACCTCTAGGCTAATTCTAACATAACAATCTTAAAATTAAAACCGTTATTATGAAAAACAAATGCTAATTAAAGTATGAAATGTCCCCAACCCCCAACTTGGGAAAATCACTAAGAAAAGCTATCTCAATGGCTTCCAATTTTTGCAGATAGATCTGAGATTTACCATAAACTGTATAAGACAGGCATTTAGCCTATCAGTTAAGATAATGATTAAGATCCTGTGTCCCATGCCTGGGCTCAAGTCCCAGCCCTGCTGCTGATTCCAAGTTCCTGCTAATGCAGACTCTGGAAGGCAGAAGGTGATGGCTCAGGTAGTTGGGTCCAGACCACCCACATGAAATCTGGACTGAGTTTCTTAGCATTGTGGGTTCCCGAAGAGTCAATCAGGGGATGGGGGAGTACCCCCACTCTTGCCTTTCTTTCTCTTTCCATCTCTCTCTCAAAAAATTAAAAATATATATATATGCACACACTACATAGACATTTTGTGTGTTTATGTATGTAATGATTTGAACACAAGACATCAAAATAATTTGGGGTACTTTCTCCCAGTAAGTTTTAAAAAATTATCTCCAAAGCACTGTCCTTTGAAATTACCATAATTTGTGAGCTAAAAGATATACTTAAGGGAAATTCCAGAGTGCAAGCACCTGCCAGCAAAGTTGCCAGTAGCTCATTAGCTGCAGAGATTAAAAGAATCCTTCAGTTGTTTTTACATAAAACAAAATAATACACATATCTAACTTCAATGTGGCATTTATAAAACAGCCAATCACCTAACATTCCTTACTGTGATTTTTAAAAAACCACTACATTTACTCCTAACTGCCATTAGGCATCTTATAAAATATATTTAATACACTGGTTTCCTTATCTAAGCACTCAATAATCAAGGTCACAGTTTGAATGTTAAGCTTCTCACTTTACAAAATTATTCACCATAAGATTAACTTAAATAATCAACTTTTCTAGAATCGCTATTTATCAAGCACTCTATTTTTCTGCTTATAAAAATGTAGTTTTCTTACAATTTTTCGAGAACACTTCTAGTATATCAAAGGAGATCCACACGTACACTTCCTTGAGAATAAATGCTTTCAATACTTCTAACCCCAGAAGAACTTCACATGTTTTGAATTCCTGCTTGGTTAAAAAAAGTTTTTAAACATCTACTACAGTACAAGTGCTTGCCTTTATAGTCATGGCTTTCTCGATGGTAAAATAAAGATCAACGTAACCCTAAGCTCTAGAGTAATGAAGTGCAGGGAACAGAAACAAGCAATTTGGCAAGAGCTGAGCAAAGCTCGGCTTAAAGGCTACCAGTAAAATATACCAGCACTACCCATCCCCCACCCCAACCCTTTAAGGTTTCAATTAAGTTGGGGCCTAGTTTTACTCTGACTAGGGGGACAGAAAGAGAAAGCACAGAGCTTCTGCTAAGAAGTATCTTCCTTAGCAGCAGTTCTAGAAATACTGTCAGGAACCATTTCCTTCCCTGTCTTTAGGGAGAGGCCTATCTCTCCTGCTTCTGATCTACATCATTATCTAAAGGAAGGAAAAGGTTCATCGGGTACCACCCAAAGGATGGCATCAAACAACAAACAAAAAATATCCAACATTAAGGTAAGCTACAAGGCTCTTTATAAAATAAGAGGATTCTCAACTTCAATTCATCTTCATTTTTCAGTCTCTTATTAATCACATGAATTGGTTAGGAAGGAATAAAGTTATTTAATAAGGCATATCCACTGTTTTAAAATAAACTTAAGAAAGTTTATTAATTGGTGAAAGAAAAAAAAAAACACATACAGAAGTTGAAGCTTCAGTGAACCTTCTAGAAGCCCTCAGAACCAATAGAAGAAAAGTAAAAGTAAGCAGTAATCCCAACAGTCTTACAGGTTGTAGAGCCAATGCAGTACAGTTAACACAGCCTCAGACATCTCCCCCAAAGCACTCAGTTTTTTACCTCACATATGATCACCTCTTTAGTGGACATATAGGACAAGTCTTTCAGTCCAATATGAACTACTGAGTAAAACCAGGTTTGAGACTAAAAAGCAACCAATGAAAAGTTGATCCTCTCCAAATAGGAGCCCAAGAATGAAACCACCTCACTATGTAAGGCATTATGAAACATCAGAGGTTAGACAATGGGCAACAGGTGCCTTTGAGGAGGCAACAGTGACACTCAGTTGCCTCCTATTTTAGGATTCCACCCTCAAAGCACTTTAATAGCATTTTTTTTTATTCCCAAGTCAGGACCAAAACCACTGATTCTACTTAATACCTTAAATGAGCCAACCGCTCTTCCATGTACTCTTTTAAGTTAGATTTGAAAACATCCACCTAATCCCAACGTTATCTGAACAGTATGCCCTATGGCCAGATCATTGACTGATCCATGAACATTAACCAACGAGGGATTTATTATCAAAAAATGCAACAGGAAGACTTCTATCCCCTCGTAAAATACTCAGAGTACAAATCCAGGAACAGGTATCACAAAACTGCAATATCAGCCAAAGCAGAAACTGTTCCTCTCACCATCTTAACAGTTGAGCTAAATCTTTACAGTAACCAGATTCCAGGGGCCTCAAAGAATAGTAATTCCAGACACAGGTTCTACAGCACTGAGCACCAGCCTGGAGTTCTGATTCCCCAAGCCAGCACAAAATTAACCACCTTCATTCGGGTAAAAGGGAACACTGAAAAAGACACTTCTGCCACTTAATAACCTCTTCCCTTTCTTCATTCCACAAAGACAACATATTCCAAAAATGGAGAATCCTTTCTTTCCCTGACAGAGGCCCCCTTTCCTATGGATTCGTGGGGCCGGATGCCTTCTCCCCAGCATGCACGCGGGGCCAGAAAACACTTCTGGTTCCACTCTTAAGAGGGTCCCCCGACACGGATGCACCTCTTCCTTTCCCCTGTGGAGTAAAAGATGCTTCAATGCTTCTGGGCTCTGCACTGCTGCAAAACGTTCAGGGAGGCAGAGGGGGTGTGAAGGGAAGTGGTCAGTTCCTCTAAGGAATACTTGAAAGAAGTCTCCAAATTTAACGTGGAGACCGAGGGGAGGGAGGCCGTTCCCAAAGAGGGAATTGGGGGTGGGAGGGAAGAGTCCCCTACCCGAAATGGGAGCCTGGGAGTAAAGGCTGTTCCCACCCGGAAAGAGAGCGCGCGGTATGTAGAGACGGAGTGGAATGCTGCCTCCGAAGAAGGGTCTGGATTTGAAGAAGTCTTTGCCCAACCCTGAGAAGGGGTCTGTGGGGGGAAGGGGCCCTAAGTATATGGGGAGGGCTGCACCGGCTACTGGGGGCCTCTCTAAGGGGCGAAGGGGCTCCCTTGGGAGGAAGGAGAGCCCCGCATTGAAGGGGGCTCTGGGAAGAAAGGAGGGTCTAGCTCCGAGGAGGGCTGGGCATGGGGGAGGGGCCCTCGGTCCACCGGAGCCGGGGGGGTGGGGGGGGCAGCCTCGAAGGGGAACATGTGCCGGGAACTACGGCCACACCGAGGGGCGGGGTGGAGCGCAGGGCCTGGGCTGTGTGTGGAGGGCACGAGGTTCCCACCCTGAGCAGGAGACGCAAGACTCCCCCGCCGCACTCACCGAGGCTGCCGGCGAAACCGTCCATCTTGCGGGAAAGCGCCGGGATCGGGGCTCAGCGGGGCGGGCACTTCATTCAGCGGACCGACAGAGCGGCCGACGCTGAGCCTGACCCGCTGGCTCTCTGGGTCGCCCGACTCGGCTCCCGGCCCCCGCCTCCGTCGTTCGTCGGTCCGTCCGCCTCGGGGTACTCTCAGCGGCCACCGCCGGGGCACTTCCCCGTCAGGTTGAGAGCCGCGCCGCTGCACCTCCTGCCCGGCCTCTCTCCCAGGCAGCAGCCGCGAGAGCCGCGCCGCGCCCCGCCCCCGCGCCCGCGCGCAGCGATAGCACCGCCCCCCGCGCACGCCGTCACGCTTCCGACTCCGCCTCCCACGTGACGGTGCGGGGGCGGAGTCTTTTCGACCCTTCACTCTCACCTTGGCGCGGCCTCCGAGTCTGCCGGGCCGGTGACTGCGCTTGCGCGCTGGGCGTTCTGAAGGCCCAAAGACCTCGGTCTTGAAGCTGGCTCGGAATGAGTGGGGGTAAGGGATAGCTTATATTATATCCTGGGATATGCCAGTGCGTGGGTGGAGGGGAATTGCTCCCCTCACAGCCCTTGGGGAGCCTGCAGAGTCCAAGTCTGGAACCCTTCTCAGGAGATGGCCACCCCTTCTGTCCTACAAGGACACTAAAGAGGGAACCGAGAGAGGAGGGATCGCTTCTTCCCCCGAGTTCTTTCTCTCCCACAGTCCGATGAGGGACAAATAGGGCAGAGGCTTCTTGATAAGCTGGAGGCCACCAGGGCCACAGCCTCAGGTCCCGGAGCAGATGAGGAGGAAGGAACTGTAGTACTGGACAGGCCCAAGAGTTCATCTTGCTCAACAAGGACTCTGAGCTTTAGAAAGCCCTTGACCTGCCCAAGGTCATGAAGTCTGCTGGAAACAGAACTAAAACCTAGGCTTCCTTCCTTCCCCTGTTCTTTCAACCAAGGGTGAGGAGCGACCGGTATACAGCGGATCACTAGAGAATTACAAGCATTATTTCCAATGAAGTGAGTCTGAGTGCCAGTCCCAACTCCATTGGACTCATTAAGCTTCCCTTTATTTATTTGCAAACGGGAGGGCTGGACTTGTAACCAAAACGTGTTAAGTATACACAGCCTGCCTCTTCGTGCCCCTTCCCACCTGCCCTGGTCCCCCTAAGACTTAGCTATGGTTTGTCATGACTCTCCTGAAACTGGATTGTGCAGATCAGAGTAATAGTGAAGTGCTCAGGGATTAAGCTGATTTACACAATAATAAAGAGCTAGGTTGGACTGGACAGAAGGGACTCATACCAGAGAGAGTTACAGAAGAGAGGGAAAAAGGAAACGAAAGATTAGAGAAATTAAATGTTAGAAAGGACTGTTAAACATTCTTGCAGTATAATTCTTCCCTAAAATCTAGATTGCTTTTTTTTTTTTTTTTTTTGGAGATTAGCTCTTATCTCTTCCGAATACCTTACTATTTGATAACTGGTCATAAGGCAGCATGATAAATTCAAGTGGAGACTAAATGATGTTTAAACTTTTTAAATTTTATTTTAGATTTTTTATTTATTTGAAAGGCAGAGACTTACAGAGAGGCAAAACCAGAGAGAGAGAGAGAGAGAGAGAGAATCTTCCATCTACTGGTTCACTCTCAAAATGGCCACAACGGCCGGAGCTGGGCTGATCTGAAGCCAAGAGCCAGGAGCTTCTTCGGGTCTCCCACACAGATGCAGGGGCCCAAGGACGTAGGCCATCTTCTACTGCTTTCCCAGGACATAGCAGAGAGCTGGATTAGAAGAAGCCAGAACTCGAACTTATATGGGGCAGCGTTAGCCACTATGCCGCAGCGCCGGCCCCTAAAACTTCTTCAACACTAAATGTTTTACCCAAAATTTCCTCTGCTGAAGGCACTTTCATATCTAAAGTTTAAGCCTAATCACTTGATCTTTGAGGTCTCAATTATGACAGCTACTCTTTTGTGTCTGCATTTAACATTTTCTACCTTAGGTTGTTTAAAAGAATAAGAACTTGGTTGGTATATTGTTATACATGAGTAAATATGTATATTTGAAATTCAGAAACATCCACATTTTGTGCAGCCTAAAGCTTTTACAATTTGTGGAGCCCTTTTGAAAAAAATATTATTTATTTATTTAAAAGGCAGAGTTACAGAGAGAGAGAGGTAGAGGCAGAGCGAGAAAGGTCTTTCATCCTCTGGTTCATTCCCCAAGTGGCTGCAATGGCCAGAGCTGGGCCGATCCGAAACCAGGTGCAGGAGCATCCTCTGGGTCTCCCATGAGGGTGCTGGAGCCCAAGGATTTGTGCTATCACCCACTGCTTTCCCAGGCCACAGCAGAATGCTGGATTGGAAGTGGAGCAGCTGGGACTCCAACTGGCTCCCATATGGGATGCTGGCACTGCAGGCAGCAGCTTTACCCATTATGCCATTAGTGCCAGCCCCATGTAGATTTTTTTTTTTTTTTTTTTTTACAGGCAGAGTGGACAGTGAGAGAGAGAGAGACAGAGAGAAAGGTCTTCCTTTTGCCATTGGTTCACCCTCCAATGGCTGCCGCGGCCGGTGCATCGCGCTGATCCAAAGGCAGGAGCCAGGTGCTTCTCCTGGTCTCCCGTGCGGGTGCAGGGCCCAAGCACTTGGACCATCCTCCACTGCACTCCCAGGCCATAGCAGAGGGCTGGCCTGGAAGAGGGGCAACCGGGACAGAATCCGGCACCCTGACCGGGACTAGAACCTGGTGTGCCAGCACCGCAAGGTGGAGGATTGGCCTAGTGAGCCACGGCACCGGCCCAGATTTTTTTTTTAAGAAAAAATTGATTAAAATTAAAAAAAAAATTGATTAAAATGTTACACATACAAAGTTAAGTTAAATGGAGTATTTAGATGAGAAAGGAAATGACAACAGATTATACATTTTAAGAAACATATAGGGGCCGGCGCTGTGGCTCACTTGGTTAATCCTCTGCCTGCGGTGTCAGCATCCCATATGGGTGCCAGGTTCTGTGCCGGCTGCTCCTCTTCCAGTCCAGCTCTCTGCTGTGGCCCAGGAGGGCAGTGGAGGGTGGCCCAAGTGCTTGGGCCCTGCACCCACATGGGAGACCAGGAGAAGCACCTGGCTCCTGGCTTCGGATCGACGTAGCTCCAGCTGTAGTGGCCATTTGGGGGGTGAACCAATGGAAGGAAGACCTTTCTCTCTCCCTCTCTCTCTCTCACACTAACTCTGTCAAATAAATAAATAAAAAAGAAACATATAAATACTCATACTGCCAACATTCCAAAATTGAGAAATACAACCTTTAATTAATTATCCAAAATGCCTCTAATACTATTTTCCTTAATTCTTTGGCTGCATACACTTTGTCTCTTCATGTAACAATGACTTTTTTATTCTTTACTAGGTCTCATTTGTTGGGATCCTGCTGTGGGACAGGTTTTGTAGCCAGGTGCTTTACTTATACCATACCCATTTCAACATCACAGCAAGCCTGTGAGATCAGTGTTAGAAATATAGCATTGGGCCAGCGCCGCGGCTCAATAGGCTAATCCTCCACCTAGCGGCGCAGGCACACCGGGTTCTAGTCCTGGTCCGGGCGCCGGATTCTGTCCTGGTTGCCCCTCTTGCAGGCCAGCTCTCTGCTATGGCCCGGGAGTGCAGTGGAGGATGGCCCAAGTGCTTGGGCCCTGCACCCCATGGGAGACCAGGAAAAGCACCTGGCTCCTGCCTCTGGATCAGCACCGTGCGCCGGCCGCAGCGCACCAGCCACAGCGGCCATTGGAGGGTGAACCAATGGCAAAAAGGAAGACCTTTCTCTCTGTCTCTCTCTCTCACTGTCCACTCTGCCTGTGTCAAAAGAGAAAAAAACATAAAAAAAAGAAATATAGCATTGGTCTTTCAAGTAACTTTTTTTTGTAAGATTTATTTATTTATTTGAAAGTCAGAGTTACACAGAGAGAGGAGAGGCAAAGAGAGAGAGAGAGAGAGAGAGAGAGAGAAAGGTGTTCTATCTGCTGGTTCACTCCCCAGTTGGCCGCAACGGCTGGAGCTGCACCAATCCGAAGCCAGAAGCCAGGAGCTTCTTCCAGGTCTCCCACGTGCGTGCAGAGGCCCAAGGACTTGGACCATCTTCTACTGTTTTCCCAGGCCATAGCAGAGACCTGGATCAGTAGAGGAGCAGCTGGGTCATGAACTGCTGCCCATATGGGATGCCAGCACTTCAGGCCAGGGTGTTAACCCACTGCACCACAGCACAAGCCCCTTAAGTAACTTTTTAATTGAAAGGATAGGAAGACAATTCAGTTTTTCCTCTTGCATGGTTGATCAAATTTGTTTTTATTTTAATAGTTGGTATGCATAAAACACAACTTCATACATATAATACAGGCTGTTCATAGTATTGCTGCAGGAATTCTGATTAATTCTCATTCACATAATTCCCCTAAAAAAAGAAATAAAATGTATGGTACATTTAAAATTATACACACTGCATTATTCCTGACAGGAAAGAACATCTGTTTTGGCTTGACATCAATGAGAATCAAATTTTCCACTTATAATTTGTATACATCTGATGATTGGAAGGCTAGATTCTGGCTCTGTATGTTTCAATTCTTATTTCTCCCACACTACTCATATACTTCCAGCATCAGTCATATGTTCCTATCACATTATAACCTCTAGGCCTGTACCTCAATGACGGGATGCCAGGTGAATCAGTACAGTGAGCCAACAGAGTGTTCCTGGAACCTATTGCTAAGCAAAGACAGCCAGCAATAACTTAATTAAGTGGAAATGACTGTAGTCCGTGTAAATACATCTAAGCCTAAAATTAAATGTATCCCCAGCTCAACTCTCCCACAGCCAGATAGTCAAAATATCCAGAGCCTCTCAAATACCACCTGATAGAAAGGGAAATGTGACAAAGGGGATTGCAGTGGAAAACACATTTTCCTAGAGATGGGGAAGAGACTTACACAAGTGAGGAGAGTGGGAGCTTACAATGCATTAACTTTATGGTAACCGGCCTCTGTTGGTTACTCACTTTTATCTCTGTAAAAGTAATCCATGTTCTTCCTAACTATGAAACAAACCAATAGTTTGTTTAAACAAAAAAATAAAAAACAGAGATAGTAAAAATGTAATAAATGTTCTTTCAGAAAGAGGAAAACAATGGACCGGGACCATTAGGAGAGAGAAAGCAGTCACATTTCCATGGCAATTCTGGAATCCTGCTGAGACAGGTATTACAAAGGGTAGGCAGAGTTCTCTTTCCAGGGAATTCCCTTGTCCACCATATGGTCCC